TTCCTGATAGTAATTGAATGCTAGGATGTTCTTCACTTGTCAGTAAATTCAAAATTCCAAAGGAATTGCGATTGCAAATTGTAGGCCAGTGTGATCACAATGGAGAATTATCCAATTATCCAACTTTTTCCTAAAATTTTCAGTTGCCTTGTCAGTTTTCAACAGTTGCCAGTAGTGAATTCACTCCAGATATGTGGTGTTGGAAATAATTCCTCGATTTGATGTGCCCAAACACTCTAGTGTTTTACTTCTTACCTAAGATACATAAGAAATTCACACCACCATCTTGTCTCGGGGATCCATCCTCTCACAGCAAATCTGTCAGAATATTTTCTTCAATCTTATGTCAACAAAGTCAAATTACATTTTCAAGATACTACCAACATAAGAAAACATATTATGGACCTGTCATAGAATAAGGATTACATCCTGGTAATATCTGATGCTACTTCACTCTATACCATAATAGAGCACACTAGAGTTTGCAATGCAGTAGAGAATACCTTGAAACAGAATCAAGAACTAGAAGAGAAACAAAAGTCCTGATTAACTGCATTAAATCCATCTTGACCCAGAACTATTTCTGGTTTGAAGGAAGATACTACCCGCAGAAAAAAAAATAACGGCAATGGGTACAAAATTTGCCCCAAGCTTTGCCAACATCTTTATGAGTTACTGGGAAGACCAATATATCTGGAAGAATCATGGATGGACAAACATCATCCTTACTATTTGTTCTACTGACTATATTCTTGAGTTGGTTGTTTTTGATGTAAACTTAGCAAAGTCAGTTTAAAGTTAATCAGAAATCACAGTTTAGTGAACAAACATTTTTGAGACCTGAGCAGGAACTAACTGAAGGGCAAGCTACGGAGTTTATCTAAGCTTTTGCCTGTTCAGAGTTATTCTCTGTTTTGTTAGGGAATAAATCCCCTCTTCTTATTAAAACTGGAATATCAGTTTGTAATGAGCCACTTGAAGTCTTGTAGGTGCTACACATTCTGTATAAATTTGCCTGCTAAGGTGATATTAAAACATATGTCATTTGCAAGTGCAGTCTAAAAATTAACTCAAACGCAGTACATACAGTACATGAATTCACATGACGAAGGTCCATTTTGTACTGAAACGCACGTCGGGCAGGTTTACTTTATTTTGCACAATGGACTTTTGAGCACTTGAGGGTGTTTTTGTTTTTGTCACATATGATCTGAATTTAGCAGCAGAAAGTTCAGCTGATTTATATAGGGGTAGATCTAACTAGGGTTGACAGGCTAAGCCAGGGGTCCTCAAACTCCGGCCCCCCAGATGTTGCTGAACTACAACTCCCATGATTCTCTGGCTATCTATGTAATCATGGGAGTTGTAGTTCAGCAACATCTGGGGGGCCAGAGTTTGAGGACCCCTGGGCTAGACTTGCATAGGTATCCTGTAGGTTGCCTTCATAGGTGACCAAGATAATTGTAGCCCTATGGCAAGTCTTCCATATCAGACCAGCATTTATAGGTAACCTTAAGGAAGATTTTTTTAGTCCTATTAGGTTGAGCCAATATAGATTTATCTATCTGGATAAGTTGGGTATTACTTCGCCTATAGTAGGAGAGTTATTAGGGTGTATGAGACCCAATCCCACTGACAATTTAGTAGATAATCCCCTACATTAGTGATCTTGAGTCTACAATTGGGACATGTTCTATCTAGATTGAAGACTTATTTTGTTTCCCTCTCCTGTTTTTTTGTTTTCTGTGTTTGCAGTTTGTTTAATTTTAGACTGATCTTGTGCAGAACATGACATTATCATATTGTTTGGAGTGACGAAATAAAAAACACCTATTTGGTATCCTCATTGATGATGAGCCATTCAGCAGCAACTGTCTACCTTGTAACACTGCCTACATAGTACACAAATCCCTGTACTGTAGAATTCAAGCAACAAATAGTAACACTTTAATGAGGGTGCTTAGTAATAAATGTTATTATTTTTTCTTTTTAGTTTTGCTCAGGTTACTTTATATCATTGTTAGTGTTCAATTATGCCAGACTGAGTGTCTATGCTGGTGTCATAGACACTCTGGTATTATTTTTCTTTGAATAATTATCAATTTGATTGGGTTAAAGGGACACTCCAGGCACCCAGACCACTTCTGCCCATTGGAGTGGTCTGGGTGCCAACTCCCACTACCCTTACTACTAGACAGCCACTAGAGGGCACTTCTTGATTCATAGCAAAGATTTTCTTTGCTAGAGCGTCGCTGGACGTCCTCACGCTGTGTGAGGACCTCCAGCGTCGCTCAATTCCCCATAGGAAAACATTGAAAATCTTTTTCAATGCTTTCCTATGGGAAGACCTTAGGTTTCCTCAGCCGGCGGGCAGGATCAGTCTCATCCACCGGCTGACGTGATTACTGGGAGGAGCGACGCCGACCCGAAACCACCGCCGAGCGACATTAGCGGGGTCTCAGGTAAGTGACCTGAAGGGGTTTTTACCCCGTCAGCTACCTGGGATGGGAGGTGAGAGGGAGAGGGTCCCTCCAGTGCCAGGAAAACGAATTGCCATAATACAGACATTAACTCAAGTATAAGTCGAGTGGGGGTTTTTCAGCACAAAAAAATGTGCTGAAAAGCTCGACTTATACTCGAGTATATACGGTAAATGGTCAAAGACCAATTAAAAATAGGGTATTTTTCATTTAACTGGGGATTGTGGAAAGAAAATTAGACATTTTAAAATTAAATATCATAAAACCTTTCCATATAAATATTATAAGTCCAATTCTATATAAAGCACACACTTTTTTATAATAACCTATAAACAGAACCAAACCACTTAATCTCAATGAATCTATCATTTCAGCCCTTCACTCTAAAAAAAGGCTTAAACACGCCTCTTGTGGCTGGCTTCCTGACATCTGATAAAGGCACTTGCGCTGCAACAACTAAGTCTGACTTGTTCGTGTGACATTCTACTCCATGAGGATGTCAAATGTCATCAAATGCAGCTCATAGGTATGCATTGGATTCAATACTTTCTTATGAGAAGCATTTGATTGGATGTCCACTTGCCGCACATGCACATCTCACCCGTAAGGGTTCTCTATGAGAAGCATTGGATGGGGCGATTGTGGAAACGGCACGCCGCGTGAGTTTTGGCACTGGAAAAAGTGACAATTTAAATTTAAAAAAGCCAAATTTCCAGATGGGACACATGCTCCCTGTCTGGACAAAAACAAAAATACTAATGTGGAAGAAAAATCACATGCCTTATTTGAAGGTAAGTGTATTTCCAATGAATGTCACACCCAAAGCCGTGACACTATATAGCAAATCCTCCTGCAGGGTTTAACAGGGTGGTCCACTCCTGTGTTCACCGATAGGTAAGAATTTAGATACAATGTCCAAAATCAGATGCTCACTGGAGTTTTCCTTTAAGCCTTGACAGCTCTGGTGCCTTTTGGTTGCCTGTGATTCATGAGACTAGTACTGGTCTTTTTAGATCATTAGCTTTTTATTGTGATTCATACAGTATTGAAGCCTGTACTAAAACAGGATTATCGATAACTTAAACATTTTACTGTCTATGTACCTGGATAAATATAAATATGAACCCGTTGCCTTAACATTTACTCACCACTGCCAGCTATAGCATACTCACCAGGGGTGAATTTCTACTCTATTTACTTGCCAATGGCTAGTAGCAAGTTCATTTGAAACCTTGATTTAATGTGCTGATATATATAGATATCCTTGTACCTTAATTTCTAATAACAAGGCTTGTATAAAGGGACGGTCAGTTTGGATGCTCTTTAACTTCAAAAACATAAACTGGTACCAAAACTAATGCAAAAGGACAGGTAAGGACCTATATGGGTTACGGGGACATATCAACAATTCATTATGATTTTCCGGGACACATTTGACATACCACCTATGTCTGCCATATAAACCGTAAATATTTTACAGATTTATGAACAATGCCGTTATGGAGATAATAGTAAGTTTTGATAAGAATTATTATCATGTATTTATTTTTTTCTATTTTTGCAGTTCTGCTCTGAATTAAATCAGCCATCCCTACCCAACATTCGTAAGTGGAAAGGAGTCAGAGGCTCTTGGAAGTGTGTCATATCCGAAAAGCCATCATCCTACCTAAACGAGGTACACAACGTCTTTATTTTTAGTTACAGTTTTGTTTTGTTTTTGTTTTTTTAATTTAACTCAGGGAAATCTCACTAGGAAGATGTTTTTAATTTGTTTTGGCACTTACCTCATTTTTTATTATCATTATTTACTGGCCAAGGACAGGTATCCGGTTGTTTGTTCAAAATCCTATAATGCAGTGCCAACTCATAATGATTGAGCTGATATTAAGATAGTGTGTTCGTGTATGTGGAAATAGTTTTCTTTTTAATTGTTATTATGTGTTTTGTGATTTTGAAATTCAGTTATGGGTGTAGAATTATTAGTATTTCTTTAATCCCTGCTTGGAAGAAACAGGTCAGTCGAGATTAGATTGCACTACAATTGGTAAAAAGGTGAGCATAGCTAATAACAATACAATATAACTTAGTAAGTATTTACACTATACTATACCTTTTTAGCCTTTTACGTTTTTAGTTATGTGTGCAGATTGTTAATGCTTTCAGCATTTCCCACCTCCCATCATTACATTTATCCCTCAACTTATGGAGACATTATTCTCTGTGGGACTGTAACATCATTTGTTTAAAGCAGACAGGCAGCAGTTCTGACTTTTAAAATAGTCTGGAGTGGTGATGACCACATTAGTAAAATGAGAATAAAGTTGTTGTTGTTGTTTTTATATTATGCAACCCGAGCTCTGCCCACCTTTTAGTTCATGGGTGCCCACAGTATAAGAATATAGATACAAAGTCCCAAAATATTCTTCTTTACTGTTTCATTTAAAAATATTCCATTCTTTTGCTGTAGAACAGTATATTGGCACATAGACTCATACACACTTATGAAAGACTCCAAACACTGTAATCATGATGAAGAAGACTATTTGTAAACGGATTAGCAACAGTATGAGCATCTGATTTTGGACATTGTATCTAAATTCTTACCTATCGGTGAACACAGGAGTGGACCACCCTGTTAAACCCTGCAGGAGGATTTGCTATATATTGTCACGGCTTCGGGTGTGACATTCATTGGAAATACACTTACCTTCAAATAAGGCATGTGATTTTTCTTCCACATTAGTATTTTTGTTCACACAGGGAGCATGTGTCCCATCTGGAAATTTGGCTTTTTTAAATTTAAATGGTCACTTTTTCCAGTGCCAAAACTCACGCGGTGTGCCGTTTCCACAATCGCCCCATCCAATGCTTCTCATAGAGAACCCTTACGGGTGAGATGTGCATGTGCGGCAAGTGGACATCCAATCAAATGCTTCTCATAAGAAAGTATTGAATCCAATGCATACCTATGAGCTGCATTTGATGACATTTGACATCCTCATGGAGTAGAATGTCACACGAACAAGTCAGACTTAGTTGTTGCAGCGCAAGTGCCTTTATCAGATGTCAGGAAGCCAGCCACAAGAGGCGTGTTTAAGCCTTTTTTTAGAGTGAAGGGCTGAAATGATAGATTCATTGAGATTAAGTGGTTTGGTTCTGTTTATAGGTTATTATAAAAAAGTGTGTGCTTTATATAGAATTGGACTTATAATATTTATATGGAAATGTTTTATGATATTTAATTTTAAAATGTCTAATTTTCTTTCCACAATCCCCAGTTAAATGAAAAATACCCTATTTTTAATTGGTCTTTGACCATTTACCGTATATACTCGAGTATAAGTCGAGCTTTTCAGCACATTTTTTTGTGCTGAAAAACCCCCACTCGACTTATACTTGAGTTAATGTCTGTATTATGGCAATTTACATTGCCATAATACAGACCAGGACCGCCAGGCTCATTACAAGCCCGGCGGTCCTGTTGGGGGCTGGCAGAGAGCTGTTACTTACCTTTCCTGCAGCTCCTGTCAGCTCCCTTCTCTCTCCTCCGTTCCGGTCAGCTCCCCTGTCAGCTCCACTGTAAATCTCGCGAGACACAGGGAACGCTCTGCGCGGCCGCAAGACTTACAGTGGAGGAGAAGGGAGCTGACCGGAATGGAGGAGAGAGAAGGGAGCTGACAGGAGCTGCAGGAAAGGTAAGTAACCTCTCTCGTCCAGCCCCTCTTCTGCACAGCCCATCCACTGGACTACCAGGGAATGAGAGCCCCCCTCCCTGGCCAGGCAACAAGCAGGGAGGGGGGATGAAAATAAATATAAATAAAAAATTAAGTAATATAATAAAAAAAATATTAATATATATGTAAAAACCTTTTTTAATTATTTAGAAAAAAAATAAAAAAAATGCCCACCCCCCCACACACACACACTGCACTCATACACACTGCATTCATACACACACACACTGCATTCATACAAACACACTGCATTATATACACACACTGTAAATAAATATTCAATTAATATAATTTTTGGGGGATCTAATTTTATTTAGAAATTTACCAGTAGCTGCTGCATTTCCCACCCTAGTCTTATACACGAGTCAATAAGTTTTCTCAGTTTTTGGGAGTAAAATTAGGGGTCTCGACTTATATTCGAGTCGACTTATACTCGAGTATATCCGGTAATTGGTCTTTGACTATTTAAAGAAGGAAAAGTTCAACAACTCTGTAGCAGCTCTAGTACCTTTATACTATGACTTTTTTATATAAACAGCTCTAGTACATCATACTATTCTGTTATTTGTATAAACAGCTCTAGTACCTTATGCTATTCTGCTATTTGTATAAACAGCTCTAGTACCTCATACTATTCTGTTGTTTGTATAAACAGCTCTAGTACCTCATACTACTCTGTTATTTATATAAACAACAGCTCTAGTACCTCATAATATTCTGTTATTTGTATAAACAGCTCTCGTACCTCATAATATTCTGCTATTTGTATAAACAGCTCTAGTACCTCATACTATTCTGTTGTTTGTATAAACAGTTCTAGTACCTCATACTATTCTGTTATTTATATAAACAACAGCTCTAGTACCTCATAATATTCTGTTATTTGTATAAACAGCTCTAGTACCTCATAATATTCTGCTATTTGTATAAACAGCTCTAGTACCTCATACTATTCTGTTATTTGTATAAACAGCTCTAGTACCTCATACTATTCTGTTATTTATATAAACAGCTCTAGTACCTCATAATATTCTGTTATTTGTATAAACAGCTCTAGTACCTCATAATATTCTGCTATTTGTATAAACAGCTCTAGTACCTCATACTATTCTGTTATTTGTATAAACAGCTCTAGTACCTCATACTATTCTGTTATTTATATAAACAGCTCTAGTACCTCATAATATTCTGTTATTTGTATAAACAGCTCTAGTACCTCATAATATTCTGCTATTTGTATAAACAGCTCTAGTACCTCATACTATTCTGTTATTTATATAAACAACAGCTCTAGTACCTCATACTTTTCTGTTATTTGTATAAACAGCTCTAGTACCTCATACTATTCTGTTATTTATATAAACAGCTCTAGTACATCATACTATTTGGTTATTTGAATATAAGAAATTCCAAAATAGAATGTAATGATTATAAGTGGTTGTTTTGTTTAATTTATTTGATTTATGGATCTAAGTTGAAGCAAAAGTATACCGTTATAGTGAGTGATTTAAGATTCATTGGCCTTGCTCAAGCTGTACATCATTTGACATATTATAAACTGTAGGAAGCAACAAAAGCTAAATGATATTCTACCACTCTGTTCCCTGTATAGTTACTATAGAAGTACTACACTCCTTCATTATTTTTAGGATGGAAATGAAATATCTGGAATATTCAAGCCATGACAAACTGACAAATCCAGAAGGAAAATTTAGATATATTTTAAAGTCATGTGAGGTAAAGCAGACTCATGAAAAAAAAAGAGAAGGTATTATATTGTACAAGAACTGTACAATGAAAATGATTGTATTGATGATTACATTTTGTAATCACAGATAAGTTACTCATACTGCACTGAAATAGTTTATATCCATACTTAAAACCAGTTCACGCTCAGTGCAACAGCAAAGAACAAATTCTCGCTCAGCATTTATGTCTCTTTGCCTCATTTCTATTTCTGTGTATTTAATTACAGAATGATTTTGAAAAGACAGTGAATTTTTATGACCGTCTATTATCTGTAACTCCATTATTAATTTCCTGGGCCTGGTTTATCTCTCTCCCTATCAAGTTGAGATAACCATCATTTCTATAATGAAATAACATTTTATGTTTCGTCGTTATGGCGTGTATGACAATGTGGGCCACAATATCATTGCTGAAGCTGAAATGGGGAGAATGCTGTGTTGCTTTTTTTGTAGAGTTGCAAAATATACAATTTAAAGGGTTAGCACAAACACTATATGCATTTTGCATTGCACCCCAACTCTCTGAGAATAGTGGCCCCTAGTGGCAGAAATCTGTATTAATTGTTACCAATATAACATAGGCCATCAGTGCTATCAATCATGTTGGCAGTAAAAGTTATTTTAATTGTATTAATTTTATATTTATTTTCCTCTGAGAGAACAGAGCTGAGGACTGCCCTGAGCCTCAGCCAATACTAAACATCCTCTGTAGTTTTCCTCTTTTAATCTGCTGTAGAGGAAACAGTGACATACAAAAATGGAAGGGGAAAACCGGTAGATGAAGGGACTTCCCAAGTTGGGGCTTACCTCTATTTTGATGCATTATAAAGGTTATGCATTGCATATTTATATATGTTAAGAAATCATGCCTGTGACGAACCAGTGTCCTCAGGATTTGCTAAGTTTGCATTAGACCCGAGAGTAGGTAAAACTACGATGCAATCACAAAGTTATGAGGGTGGCTTTGGGAATTGTAACATGGCATACCTATGTGATGTATTTGACTGGTTTAATTAGATACAACAGTTATTGGTAACAGAGTGAGGAAGGCTGTGGCAGGAGACCTCTCAACACCATTACCATATGCAAGTAGCAAAGGCTGTCAATTTAAAGGGACACTCTTATCAGCAAACCTCATCATATCTTTGAAGTGGTTATGGTGCCTGGGGTCGCCTGGTGCTATCCTACTGTTCAGTGTTAAACCGGTTTTGAATGGTCTTTTGCAGACTAGCTCGCTCTGCTGCTCAGACTTTCATATCAATCCAAGCAGTAACAGGTGCCAGAGAAAGGCAGAGAGCGTCAGCTGAGCACTCTCCGTCTATCACTGTTACCCAGCGCTGTTATGAGTTGATCTGAGTAAAATGTAACTTCTTTCTATTAAACCCTCCAGTAGGGGTTGAGCTGCAGGCACCCTCATTTAGTGTGAAACCATTCAACATTTGTGTAATATTGAACCATGAGCCAGTGCCAATGGCCTGAAGGCACAATAACCACTTCAATGAAATGCAGTGATTGTGGTGTTTATCATGTCCCTTTAATACACAGCTGGGTATTCATTAGCTTGTAGCAAGAGAATGATTTAAGGGCTAGCTGCGCAAACTCCAAAAGAGTACCTTTTATTTTATTTCCTGTGTTTTTTAAATTATTGATAAGAACTTGAAACTTCAATTTGCTGCACCCTTAATTAAATGAGCAAATTACATAATTTCTAGAAACTCTTATACTCATCAGTGGCCCTGCTAGTTTGACTTTCAAATAGTTGCACTCTGTGGATTTTATGTTATGAGCAGAGTGAATTGAAAACCTCTTCATCTTGCCACCCATTGTCAGTGTTACGCTCAAGGATTCAGCTGTTGTTTAGTACCAAAAGGACATTGTTAGACAGAGTGTTAATATGTCTCTATAGTAAACATTCTATTTCACTAAATGCAGACTGCATCATTTCCAGGCTCTGTCTGCTCAGCACATTAAATCTGCCCCATTTCTTTCTTTCATCAGCAATGCAATGGGGGAATTAGAGCCAATGAGATGGCTCAAATAAAAAGCTTTTACTTGCAATTAATGGCATATAACTTGCACGGGAAGACAAAGGCTTACAGTAATGCTATTTCAAGCAATCATCATTTGTGAGATAAGATGCAATTTATAAGTTGTTGATGCTGAGTTGACTGGAAGCTGCTTTACCACTAATACCAGTTTAATGGGATCGTATTGATCATGCCAGTGTATTGTTTCAAGATTTGGCCCTGTTATTTTATGGTTTCCTGTAATAGCTTGTAGCCATGCAAGTGTGGTAATAATCAGATCGTAGGGCCAAACAAAGCTTTGCCAAGATCACAAATGTAAGGTAAGGTATATCCACAACATTTAAGGGGTTATAATAAGTGTAAAGCTGTACGATAACCACTCAAAGTGCTGATATCATGGCTGCCTGTGTTTCAGTTAGATCACAGATACTGCATGTAACGGCACCCCCAGGCATAAAGGGGATATTCCCCTTCCAGATACACAGTCAGCTACCAAAGACACCAATCCACCGAACCGGAGAAGTATACGAATGCTCTCAAACATACGAATGCTGTAAACAGTCGAATAGGAAAAACCATACAAAAGGTTTACACTCCTAGCAGTCGAACTGGAACAGCATACAATAAATCCCCCCAAGAACGAGACAAGGCTCCGTATTGAGGGTCAAAACAGGAACAGGCAGAGCTGTGGGTTTATTGTTCTTATATATCCATTCTTACACATTAGTACCACCCACAGGGTTTTGGAAAACAACCAATAAACACGTACAATACACTCAGACACTCCCACACAAAATCATCCCCTCTGCCTGTGATACAATTACATTACATAATGGGTTAATGTAATTATCACAGGCAGGAGATACAGTTTTTCCACATTATTCATAACTTTAAAAGTATACATCACATTCACATACAATTACATTTTCAGAATCAGCATACTCCAAATACAAACATATGTCAAAATCATCCAGATTGGTCCATTGGTTCAAAAGATAGATCGAAGTCCTTTGTGACCAAATGAAACATGGCTTTTCTGCCCAAAACCAGTTCCACAGAGTCTTCTATCCAGGAGATAATTGGGAAGTAATCCAATTATCTCCAAGGACAGAGGCAAAACTCCATTGAACACATGGTAGCAAAAGACAATAAAATACATAAAAATATATAGCTGTGCAGCTATTGCATAAAACAGGTACATTCAACAAATCCCAAGATAGCTTAGATCTGAGCGCACATTATTACTGAATGGCGCTCAGATCTCATACACACAGTTCAATTGCCATGGAGCCAAAGTCTTTCACATAGTCTTTCGTTATACGAATGGGCTCCATGGCAAAGCTATCTGGGGTATCATTATTCAAATAGGGCAAAGTACCGAATGACCCGGCTTTCGTCTCTTTGCAGGGGAAAATCAAGCGTTTCAGCATGGGGCCATCGTCTAAAGGCAGCAGGCGGGCAACCAGGCTCCTCCAATGCACAGTAGCCCAGAAATATGTCAGTCCAGTCCCAGTTTAGGAGAAACTTTCCAGGTTATGTTTCCCTTGTGACCTGTTTCACACTGATCTGGTGTACCTGCCTTGCCACGTAAATAATGATGTATATTGTGTACCTGGCCCACCTTAAAGGGACACTCCAGACCCCTAAAGCACTTTAGCTTGCTAAAAAGCTTCAGGTGTCGAGAGTGTCCTATTTTTTCATTTTGCAGAAAATGCAGACTTCAATAGAAACTGAAAAATCAAACATGTTTAGGTGAAGACTAAAGATGGATGTGATTTTTTTTTTTTTGTATTTTTATTTTAGAAAGCTGAATATTCTGGATTTCTTTGGGACACGTCAGCTGGAATTGAACTAAAGAATGTAATTTTACAAGAAAACCAACAAACTAATGGCAGCAGCAAGAATATATATCCATATCCCTACATTGCACATTTCAAGGTAATTCATTAATATAATGTGTTGCATCACTTACATTAAACATTGTTGAGTGCGGGAAATAGAATTGATGGCCCCGAAACTTCATGGAACTTTCCCTGATAAGGCAACCAAATGTTGATATTTACCCTCTTACTCTGGACCTCCAGCAAGTCCTCTATATTAACATGATAATAGTTTGATATTTAATTCTTAGTATTTCTAAAATCAAGGTGTGCATCAGCCCCACAAAATTAAAAAAATAATAATTCCGATGTTTAATATTAAAAATATATAAAAATAAATAAATAAAAGCCTCTATTTGGAAAATTAAAACATTTGCTACTTCCCACTACCTTGGAGTCCCATCTCAACATCCTTTGCACTGGTGCACACGCCACCCTCCTAATCTTCAAACCTATCTATCTGAGAGCCGGGAATGGCAACTTTACAACATTCCTGGGAATCACGTCTGAGCTCTGACTTAGAGTTCTAAACCACACACTTCCTTTCTCGACTTTGCCTCCCCAGCCTAGGGCTAAATAAAAATATTATTTGCCTGCCCGGCATCTGGAACAAGGCATGTCCTGGGCGTTGGACGATATGAATTCCTCATCCCTGTTATATATTTTCTTCATATTAACTGTGTGTGTTGATTAAGATGGTATCGGCTGTATGTTGTATGATGTTCTGTTTATGTTTTATACATATATTTTTTAAAGGTGTGCATATTTATTTACATTATATTTCCTCCTCGACAAAATTGATCCTCTGTTCATCTTCACACAGAACCATTTTTATCTTTCCTTTTCAGGTCGGAACAAATGAAGTAACACTGGTGAATATTCACTTGTCCCCTAACCTTGGGGAAGCCGGAAAGCACCAGAGTGACAGCCACAAATTGGCAACCTTTGGCCAAACACTGCAGGAAACCCTGAAAGGTATGCAAAGCAGCATAAGCTTGAAGTAGGAACATGACCCAGCCTGCCATTAATAGCCATTCCAAGAATGCTTCCTGGTAACCTGCAGAAAGCATGTTTATCGCACAACCTTCTAGCTTCGTGCTGGCAATCAATCACTGGGCACCTTGCTGTCTTTTAGACATGCTACACTAACTGTATCTGATTGATGGGTCCATGCATTATTTCAGCTCTCAAGGACGAGCGAAATACAAAGTGGATACAAGAAACAATCTTTAGTGCAGTGGTTTGAATATTATTTCTATATAAATATAGATCTTTACTAAGGCATTGATGCATACATTAGATATTTCTGAACTACACTCCCATGATGCTCAGCGAGCCTTAGAAAAAATGGAGCAATCACCATGGAGATGATGTGGCGGGAGGTTTATAATAGGAAAACAGGTGCTCTTTTGGTTGCAAAAAGCTAAATACTGAGATAGTATGTTGGTTTACATGGAGACTGCTCGTAGGTTAGCACTTTGCCCCACAATAGCGCAGATTTTGTCCTTGATAAATCTCCCCCATGGTTGGGTGGTAACATGCTATTCTAATAAGCATTATTTTGTGCTGAGAATCTTTCATGAACATTATTGACCATTGTGTTTAACTAATGAAATTACCATTATTTTAATTGACTGAATGAGATAGGTATAGAAGAGAGGAGAGGAATGAGAAGGAATAATTCCAGCTGGGCTGGTATATTATAATTCTCCAATACTTATTCAGACTATTTATCCTCTATGTCTGACATGATTTGTGACTTTAAACTGCAGTGCTGTCTCTTATATCTGCAGAGTGACATTTCAGAAATAGATCCCTGTAATTTCTTATGCAACATTAGGAGGTATAAACAAGGCTTAAACCCCAAGACGCAGGATCCTAGAACCCAAAACTGTATTATTGACATTTAACTTTTGGTGCCTTTATAACTCCTCCATCTTTATAAAATCAATTTTGTATGTAAAAAAAAAAGAAAAATAAAATAAGGGGGGACGGGGCCGTGCTTCAGTGCTTCCGTGCTGACTGGACACATGGAAGATCAGCTCCCATTATCAATAAACATTTGGACCAATTTACGGGTTCTGACCGGTGTCTGGCGTTGAGGAGCGATAACACACACTAACCAAGGGTGCTAACTCACCTTCTGAGTTTGAAATCCGCACCCTGATCTCTTGTGACGAAACATCCAGCAAACAATCCTGCTTGGGTGGTGAGTGGAGTAGTCGGCCGCTGCTCTGCTATCCTGCCTGTCGGCAATGCGTGGCTCCAACCCCGTTCCCCCCCTCTGGGCCGGGGGGGGGATTATCCCAGTCCACCCTGGGGCCCAGATAATGCCAGGTCGCACTCACCTCTCAAGATGGCGGTGACACCTGCTCTAAACCTCGAGCACTCTGTGAAGAAGGCGCCCTCCCTCGGTGCTCTTGGCGCCCTCTGTGGACAACCATGGAAACCAGCACTTGGAATACCTGTGGCTTTAATGGTCTGACCCGGGCGCTAAGAATCGACTTAATGCCCTTCAGCTGTGCCACTATAAAATATGAGTAGAACCACTGTAGGGCTCCTCTATACCAACTACAAGCGGATGACCCGAATACACTCTGCATCAACTAGTTATACAACCTGGGTGGCAGTCTGGCGGCATGCCGTTTGAAGGGACTGTGTCCTGCTGGTGGGGGGGATTGAGTAGTCTCTAGGTGGGGTCTGGGGGTGTCTCTTCATGTTTGACCCGCTTTCCTTATGCTATTTTCTTTTTATCGTCCTGTTCCACTGATTGGCTAAGCATATGGTTGGGCTCAGGGATCTTTAGTAGCGAAGGCATGTGTTCCTCAGTTTTGTGATATCCTTCAGTTTCTTTTCTCACATGCCACACTATCTCACGTAGTTATTTTTCTTTACTTTAAAACGTATTGTGCAGTATCTACGACATAAACAACCTATTTTATTAAATAAAAATGTGCTATGACCTTGCATGCCAGACCAATGTTTTTTTTGTGTGGTTCGCATGGCTAGCTCTAGCTATTGTGGCATTGCCAGCCTGTCTGTAATACCTATGCAAGTAAAATAAAGAATAAAACATTTTTTTTTTTTAAATATCTGTCTTGGGGCGTGTCCTACTGCGGAGCTGAATGGACGTGCACTAGTTCAGCTCTCCAAACCTCGATCGAAAATCCACTCTAATCGTAGACTCTACCCAAGTATGGGGAACCCTAAGAGACAAAATTCCTCCCACATTTCATCAAGGAGAACACCTGCAACAAAATCGGGCTCTCTAACTCGATATTACTACAGACCGCAAATTGGAGGCCGCGGAAATCAAAATGGCGATGATGGAAATCCAAACGGACTCCTCTCCACCTAGTCCAGCACCATCTGAAGGCTCTTATAAATCGCAGGAGATGCATCTCCAGCACATATTTTGGGTATCTGGATACATTTTTGATAATTTATTAGGAACATAATGCCATCTATTAGTAATTTTATAATGGCTCTAAGTGATATTTAAGTAATGTATGGCTTTAATTACTGCATTATTTGCAATTATCCACTCTTTTCTAGAGATACTGATCTGTAAGTCCTTTTCCCAGGAATTAAAGGACCACTCTAGGCACCCAGACCACTTCAGCTTAATGAAGTGGTCTGGGTGCCAGGTCCTTCTAGGGTTAACCCATTTTTTTTATAAACATAGCAGTTTCAGAGAAACTGCTATGTTTATGAATGGGTTAATCCTTCCCCCTAATCCTATAGTGGCTGTCTCATTGACAGCCAAAAGAGGTGCTTGCGTGCTACTCACTGATTTTCACAGTGAGAGCACGCAAGCGTCCATAGGAAAGCATTGTAAACGCTTTCCTATGTGACCGGCTGAATGCGTGTGCAGCTTTTGCCGCGCGTGCGCATTCAGCCCAGGAGGAGGAACGGAGGAGGATCGGAGGAGGAGAGCTCTCCGCCCAGCGCTGGAAAAAGGTAAGATTTTACCCCTTTCCCCCTTCCAGAGCCGGGCAGGAGGGGGTCCCTGAGGGTGGGGGCACCCTCAGGGCACTATAGTGCCAGGAAAACGAGTATGTTTTCCTGGCACTATAGTGGTCTTTTAAGAGCTGGAAAGACTGGAATAATTTTAAATAGATCGCACAGGTTTACACATCTTGATACCAATTTTTTATTACTCTTAATATTTAGTATATTTAAGAAAGATTGTAAACCTTCTGAAGTTTCTTCTACTTTGTGTTTGTTTATAAAATGCTTTATCCTTAAGTATGTAAAATTTTCTTTATATGGAAGGGAAAAAGGTTTTCTAATTTGTTCAAAAGGAACAATCTGATTTTGTTGCATAATCTGATCGATTCTATGTATACCGTTAGCCTTCCAAGTTCTAACACTTAAGTCTTCAATATTAGCTGTCAGGATATTTAATGGCAAATTTTGTCTACAATCTTGAGTCTCTTTTTCCAGTTTTTCCAATGTAGCATTAAATTATTAATGATTAAACCCATCTAGAGATTATCCTTATTGTTAGTTTTCCAAAATACGGATAATAAATCTGGGACATTCATTCTTATAGCTTCTATTTTGGCCCAAGCTTCCTCCATAGAACTCTCTTTCAAAGTTGTAACTATATGAGCCAATGCGCATGTCTCATACAACTCTAGCATGTTAGGCAAACCCATTCCTCCATTTTTAGAATTTAAATGTAATATCTTTCTATTGACTCTAGTTTTTTTTTTAACCAGATAATTTTTCTAAAGCAGACTGGATCATTGTAAGCCATGGTTTTGGGACTTTTAGAGGAAGCATACGAAATATGTAGCTCCATTTCGGGATTATATAGGATTTTATTAAGTTTATCCTGCCTGTCCATGAAATCTCTGTGTTTCTTAAATCTTGTAGTTGTTTATTTGTTTCATTAAGGGCAAGATATTATTCTCTACAATTTTATTTGGATCCCTAGAAATTTTTATTCCCAAATATTGGATGACTTTTACCCATTCAAAGTCATATTTTGTTTTAATCCTTGCTTGCACATCTTTAGATAATTTTTTTGCTAAAAGCTTGGTTTTATCTGTATTTAGGTTAAAGTTTAAATATTTGCCAAATTCTGATATAACTTTTAATAGTTCCTCAATTGATGTTTCTGGGTCTGAAATAGTAGCCAAGATGTCATCCGCATCATTTAATAATGTTTTGTATCTTCTTGGCCTATTCTAACTCCTTTAATCGTTGGATTATCTCTAATTTTACAAACTAGAGGCTCAATATATATCAGATACAGCAGAGGGGAGAGGGTACAGCCTTGTCTTGTTCCATTATCGATTTTAAACCAATCAGATATAACTCCCCTCCCTATAGTTCTAGCCATTGGGGCAACATAGAGACCCATAATGGCATCTAAAATCCAGCCCTCAAATCCAAAGGCTCTCAGAGCCGCCCTCAGGAAGTCCCACCTGACCCTGTCAAAGGCCTTTTCCGCGTCCAATGACAGGGTCAGAAGTGGGACATCCGACTCATGAACAGCATCCATAATATCCACTATTGTCCTTACGCTATTAGTAGAGTATCGGTCTCTAATAAAACCGACCTGATCTTTATGGATCAAGTTCGGTAAAATGGTTTGCAACCTGTTTGCTAAAATGCTTGAGTATATTTTGATGTCTGTATTTAACAGCGAAATAAGACAATAGTTCTTTACATATTCTGTTGTTTTTTCTGGTTTATGAATTGGAATGATGTTTGCATATAGCATTTCTTTTGGAATGTCTTTTTCCTTTACTATGTTATTAAACAGATCATTTAGATGGACTAGCAGGATGTCTTTAAATTGTTGGAAAAATACATTTGAATAGCCATCTGGACCAGGGGTTTTATTTTTTTTTAGAGTATCTATTGCCTTCCCGATCTCTATTTCTGAAAAAGGTTCACTAATGGATTTGAATTGTTCCATAGATAGTTTTTTCATAGATTTATTATTCTTAAAATATGAATCTGGGTTATTTTGTTGGTTAGGTAGGTTGTACAAGTTCTGATAAAAACTATTAAATGCTTTACCTATTTTTTCTACCGCGCATTTTATATGCCTTGCGTTCCCCATAGTACTCCCCAAGAAATTCTTTGACACGGTTAGGGTGATGGTCACGTATTTTTTATGGTCGTACTCGCATCCTCGACTGGCAAACTCTCTCCTCACCAAACCAGTGCGTGCAAATAGAAGCATCCTTCTTTAAAAATCCCATCCTGGGGGCGGGGCTTAGCGGCGGAACGAGCCGGACGCCATTTCTGACAGCTCTGAGCCAACTGAAACTGAATCCGTCAACATCACCAAAAGTACATGCCATCCACGCAAACAATTACCAGCATTGCCCGAGGGAGTCCATCCTGCACCGCCCGATGCCATTCCGGTACAATTCGAGGCAGGCAAAGCCCAAAACGAAAATCCGGGCCTACTACTCACCAAACAGCCGCGGCCTGGAGTACTTGTGGGGCGGAGAGAGCCTGGGAGACCCAAGCGAAGTCCATCTACAGGACCCCGACCAATCCCACGAGGAGATGGGGCGCAGATCACAAAAACCACACCAAGGTACTGCCACAGCACAGCCTGATATAGGGGCACTGCTGCAGAAACAAACCCCAGCCAAAATGGCACCCGACCAGGGCCCAGACCCCCCACAGGCAGACACCCCACCTGCACAAACCACTCAGGGGAACACACAGAGATCCCCACAGCTCACACAGACCACAACCACCAAACCCATACCCCCACAGGGATCAGCAGACCCAGCCACAAAGCAGGACCTGCAGCAGTTGCAAACTATGCTGCAGGATATACAACACCTGCTGGCAGCAGACCTACCAGCGCTCAAAACGAGCATGCAACAGATCACAGAAAAAGTGACCACTACTGAAAACCAAGTCAAAACAATACAGGGAGAAGTCTCTACGCTACAAGATTCGCTCCACCAACTACAACAAGACCAGCAACGCTTAGCAATACAACTAGCGACGCAGGAGGACAAAAACCGGCGCAACCACATCAAAATCAGAGGCATCCCGGCATCGGTGAGCAAAGAGGACCTACCGCATTACGTGAGGCGACTCACACAATCACTACTCCCCCCCGCAGTAACAAAGAAACTCGCCTTTGCAGGGATTTACCGCCTACCCACGCCTCCCAGAGCTGCCGCAACGCTAGCCGGAGATGTCATTGTCCGTTGCGCCCTACCGCAAGACAAGGGGCACATCATGAGCGCAATCAGGGGTAAGACCCCGCTTGAATTCGAGGAAACCCAACTGACCTTTTATCAGGACTTATCCAAGGCCACCCTCCAGTGGAGAAAGTCGCTTACGGAACTCACCGGCCATCTGCGTACAGCGGGGATACCATATAGATGGGGGAACCCCCGCTCTCTGCTCATCACCCACCAGGGGACCACCCATAAAATCACCTCAGGGACTGAGGCCCCTACACTACTCACAAAATTGGGCCTGCAAAACTTGCCCAACCTGAGCACTCCCCACGTCTGGAATCCAGATACCTCGGATACGTTTGTGCCGAGAAGACAGAGAATGGACACGCAAGCCACCTGACGGACAGGGGGAGAGAGGTCTCTTAACCCTGCCCGCTCAATGGCGATATCCATATGTCTTGTTTACCACAACTTGTATTCCCCCCACCCTCCGCGCAATACATTTCTGATGTTGAAGTTCTTACCTGTTTACCGCTAGCTAGATGACTTAGCTGACGAGGACGCTGGCGCGCTGCCGCATTACCAGACCATAAGCTATAGCCTAAGCCAAAACCTACCCCCCCGACAGCCCCTAGGTTAGGGCTACCACCCCTCATGAGTGGTCCCCAGCGGAACTAGACGACCAAGCCACTTCAGAACACGTGTACCACTCACCAGACTACTTGACCGACGAAACTACACCTACTGCACCCACACGGACCCTAGCACCACTCCGCATCTCCACACATACTTCCTAACACCATTAGGGTCACGCCTTCGACACCAACCCATGACCTAGGTACTGCACCCGCAGACGAGTAACACGACTAAACCCCTATATGACCCAACCTCTACCTAGGATGTTACGCATGTTAAACTTAATGAAAAATTGTGCTAAAATTTATCAAATGCATTATCTAACAAATGTTGAAACCTGTTACCTACTCAAACGATGCATACGATGCAACATGTCTAACTCTTGTGCACGCAAAAATAAAGAATTATATAAAAAAATTAATCCAAAATTCAATAAATAATTGTGAAATAAAAAAAAAAAAAAAAAAATCCCATCCTGACAATACCATGGCACAAGTCAGGCCAAATGTTACTACGACATAAACACAACCCGACCATTGCAACCACGCTGAGAGAATGGACAAACATTACGCGGGTGGGGGATCTATCTCCATACCCCTCCCCACTCTATCCGCTCACTCACAACCCCCTCCTACAAGCAGGCTCCTCCGGTAAGCCATATCAGCTGAGTCACAACAAGCCCTACCTCAGACTCCAGTACATGGTGCAAGACCACAAATTAGTACCTCAGAGCACTCTCTTCTCAACAAAATCACCTACAGGCATGCAACACCTCTACTATACACAGAGAGCTCACTTTATCAGGACTTTGAAGCTCCTGCCGGATGGAGATAGGGACCTTAGAGCTTTCGAGCAGCTGCGCATCTCACACAGCTTAAAGCAAAAGACACTCTCTACTATGTACACGATGCTACAAAAAGCACATTCCCCTGAGCCCCCAGGGTTCACCAGGAAATGGACAGATGAATTGCATGTAGATATCACACCTGACCAGTGGCAGAATATATTCCTAAGCGTACACAAGATATCTATGAATCTACACAAGAAAGTAATTACAAACGGCTCACTCGCTGGCATTACACCCCAACGAAAATACACAAAATACATAAGGACACCACAGATGCGTGCTGGAATAACCAGATGCACACCGCACACATCTGGTGGCAATGCCCTACAATTACAAAATACTGGAAACAAATTTACACACTGGTACAGACAATCACGGCAACACAGTTTCCTTTTTCCGCAGATCACCTCCCTTTTCTCTTACCCCCCTAACAGCGAGGACAGGGATAGACCTGGCTACCCACTTACTTATGGCAGCAAACCAACTAATTCCAGTCCATTGGAAACGGATAGAACCCCCGTCCATTAGGGAATGGATCAAAAGGGTAGAGGGTGTAAGACACATGGAGGAAATCATTTACGCCAAGTCCGAAAATGACACAAAATTCACGCACATTTGAGCACCATGGAACACTTTTATACTAGCAGAAACCAATTCTCACTAAACGGCAGACATTTCCGGACCGCACGCACTATCGCTCAGACGTAGATGATAAAGGTGAGAGAGCCAACTCTCGAATATCACACATCTCAGGTACTTCAAAAACACCACACCCTGAGGTAGACAATACAGCTATTGATACGACATAATCCGTACTGGTGACCATAACACACTCCTGCGATGACTTGACATTCCTCATTGTAATGAACTACACATACGCCAAAACATACGATGCCAAATATACACTATAATTTGACCTTATCTTTGAACCCCAAATGTTGAACTGTTAACACAAATATGTTCTAGTGACAGATGGTATACGTATTGCTTATTACAAAAGACTTTGTCAAATGCAAACTTTGATACTGTAGAAAAACACTAACACTATTTGCGAGACTGTTATTCTGTAAAATCGTCATTTGAGATCTTTTGTTACATTGAACAGAATGTTAATGTGAACACTTTGGAAAACCAAAAAAAAAAATATTAATAAAAAAACAAAAACATATCTGTCTTGATACTGTTAAGACGTCTGTGTCATGTAAATAGTTAGGGAGCCTTCAGTAATGTGCAGACATATTGTGGCTAACATTTATAGAGCTGACATGATAGGTCAATTAATTAATGTACTGACTCTTCAAACCTTACAGTTCCGTGTTTCATTCCCAGCAGGATCACCTCAGCTTTTTATCCCTGCAAACTCTGTGAAATAAGTACAGTTGAGCTGGATAATAGTAATAATGTTTATTCCACAGGAAAAAAAAAACAGTCTCAAAGTATCCTTCCTGATAAAAACATTGATTATTAAATAAGGGAGTTCCCAGCTATGTTTGTATACCATCTGTTGGTCGGTTTGAAGAAAATGCGTACAAACTCTGTACTATTCTTACAAGTTACACATTTTGGCAAATTTGTTTCCCTTACAAATTGGGGGCATGCCAGCCATTCAATTTTTATATGTCACTTCACAAAGAAAGCGATATAAATACTGAAATAAAGTAATGAGACTTTCTCTTCATATTGCTATTCCTGCTGTTCCTCCCCAGGAGTTTCCTTCCTTGGTAAGGGGATTGATAATAACTTGGCAGCACATGTAGGAATGCACTACATTCCTAAACGTGGAAATAAAACGTATAATAACCCAGGTTTTTTTATATAATTCAGCCAGAGATCTAAAATCAGAAAATGGAAGATGATATATTACTTTGGAGCCAATGGCTCATTCTAACAGCTAAAACTGTGTTTTGTTTTTTAACCCCTGCTGTGACATTCCGTTTATTCGACGACCCCCAATTTTAGACTAAAAAAAAACTTTCAAAAAAACAACATAGTCTTATACATGGAAAAATACCGTATTTATATTCTCCTTCATCCTCTGAGTGTATCAGTGTCACTGTATCTACCATAACTGAGTTTGTAAAAGTCATAGTTTCAAATTATAAACATGTCCTTGTTTCCATGGATTGTTTTGTCTGTTTTATCACTTGTTTTCAGCTACATCCCCTGAATGCAAATTATTATCTGTAGTTTTTGATATTCCTGATGCTGTCCCATTATACTGTATTATATGTGCAAATATAGCTCACTCTACCCCTGTCTATAGTTTGCACTCCATAAAAAGTATGACTTAGAATAATACAATTTGCATTCCACCACATGTGAAGTGAAACTCTAATTCCTAATCATAGTAAACATAGTGTGCTCCAGATACTCTGGAATGCAACTACCGTTATTCTCAGCAGTTCTACCTTGATAACAGTTGTAATTTTCAGTGTCTGGAGTGCAAGAAATCAATATGAAAACTCCTTAATTTCTTTAAAGGACCAATATAGGCACCCAGACCACTTCAGCTCAATGAAGTGGTTTGGGTGCCAGGTCCCCCTAGTTTTAACCCTGCAGCTGAAAACATAGCAGTTTCAGAGAAACTGCTATGTTTACACTGCATGGTTAATCCAGCCTCTGCAAGCAAACTGTACAACACAAAGGTTGAAATACAGTACAGGGTGCCACAATCACAAAATATGAGGTGGTTATAGTTACCAAAACGTAGAGTTAAGGATCAAACTCACATGAAAAAGAGAAACAGAGAAACTTTAATACATACAAAATATAAAAAAATGAAAGTAGAAACACACGGAGTAAATCGGACTTATTTGATGCTGGACGTCCTCATGGAGTCCAGTGTCAAAAAAGATCCCCATAGGAAAGCATTGCTTTCCTATGGGTGGGTTTGAATGTGTGCGCGCCTCTGCTCGGGTCCACTCGGGAGCTGACGTCGATGGAGGAGAGGTCACCAATGCCGAGGGAGCCCGGCGCTGGATTACGGTGTCTAGGGCTCTATAGCGTTAGGAATACCTATTTGTATTCCTAATGCAGTAGTGCTCCCTTAACTCCAAGCCTTGCTCTAATCATTTACTGTAACTTCCATAAATCCTAGCCTTAATAGGACACTCCACTGTCCAAATAAAAAATCACTGTTTAGTAGATACACCCCAAATAATATATGTAAATTGAATTATGCTTTTTTTATTGGGGGTATATTTAAAAAGCATTTAAAAAAGCTGCAGTACTCTTATCTGCAGCCTTTGCAAGCCCTCCCCTTCTAACCCCGCCCAGACTTTCTGTGTCTGTCCAATCACAGACTTCCCAATACAGCTCAAAAGTCTTTGCAAGGCAGATTCTCTGACTCTCTTGAATTTAGCTCCACTTAGCTAACCAAACCAGGAAGTAACCGGATCACTTGTCTGATTAACAGCCGGGGGTTGTGACAAGGTTATTTTTTCTTCTATTAAAACCTGCACTTTTTGTAAAATGAAAAAAAAAAAAGGACACACTTTTCACAAATAAAGCACTTCAGCAAGCTAAAGTGCTTTAAGGTCTGGAGAAACCATTTACCAGTAATTTCTAGCTCCACAGTAATTCAAAATCTTCCACCCTAACAATGAGAATAGCTGTAGTCCACAGTATTATGAGTGTAACCCTTTAATTCATTTTATCCCCTTGCCAAAACCTAAACTCTTAGAGATAGTCAAGCTAGTACTATCCACATGTAGTCTCGGTTCACAGTATGCAATCCTAACCAATTAAATGGCTGTTAACTGATGCTGTGTTGAAAGAAATGCATTGCCAGGTCAAAGCTGACATTTCGAACATACCGTTATGAACCATTGCACCATTCGGATGTCTTCATTTCAAAAGCATTCCATTAGAACTAGCTACTATATTCAGGGTATAAACACCTACATATGAAATATATCTGTCTCTCCCTCTCTCTCTCCCCTTGCACTCAGGCTATATAAGTAAATCCAATGCCGGATGCTATAAACCAGAGTCTGTAAATACGAAAGTATCAGGAAGATAGCTTGCACTCAGTCTTTTTTAAAATATCATACTTTATTGAAAATTAATTAAAAAGTGGATCAACGTTTCAGTCCCCATCCGGGGCTGTCATCAGGATATATATATATATAAAATCTAACTTCTGCATAGACGGTATTTTTCCTATCACAGTGTTTTTATTTTATTGTCAATGTACATGTTTCCCAAGAGAATATCATCATATGCTTCATACTTGTTGAAATCTACTAAAAACATAAATCACGCAAAGAAATAGAGGTTTAGCGATAATAACATTAGGGCTAACATATGGTATTATTAAAATGCAGTGCGTATTTAGTAAACAATTAATTAATCAACTACTGTGTAAAGCCCCCTGCGTAAGCCCATTAAATAACAAATAAATGCAGCCTTGTTGTCTGCTCATAATTTTGAGCTTTGAAATATATAGCTTAGCCATTTCATCCTGTCATTTATTAAAAATATGCTCCAAGTAACTGAATGATGATTTATTTACTATTGATCTGGCATTGCTGGTGGAATTAAAAGGTTTGTTTTGTCTTGTTGCACCCAAGAGCTATGGGTTATATTACTAATAAAAATATGCGTTATGAGAGGCACACGTAACACGCCTGGGTGTAGATACATGGAATTCCATTCTTGTTGAAGTAGGATAAAATAACAAATAAAAGGGTCCAAGAATACTTGTAGAGAACAATCAAAGTCTGTGTGAGAATGCTATCTGAAGCTATACGTTTGAGCTCTAAGATGTCACCTACATGTAAATGTCTGTGGTAAGCACTTTGCTTATATCTTAATCTCAACCCCACCATATTGTTTTCCAATAGATAATATTTTATTTAAATGTTCTTGTTTGTTTGCTTTTCTAGTGGAGAAGGATGTGATCATTTTAGGAGGTTTTAGCCTCCCCCCAGATGTCGGTGACTTTGATTCGCTGCGTAAAGAGAAGTTTCAAAACCTACTTCCAGCGAGCACCTTCACCAACATCAGCACAAGTAACCCGCAGGGGAATAAGTCCCTCGACAACATCTGGATCAGCAAGAGCTTGAGAAAAGTTTTCACAGGTAAGCATTTTGTTACAATGTAATGGTAGTATTGATGGAATGTGTTTGGGATACATTTACTTTGTATAATAACTACTTGCAAGTTCCAGAAAAATTTTACTCTCAAGTTCAGTTGGGTGCTATAGTGAGACGTGTGCTTCAAGTTAACTTGGGTAATGATTATGTCTCTGCTCTGGCAATGGGTCTGCCGCTCTCTAAGTAACACAGTGAATGCCAAGTTTGCCACAAATTATTAGTGCCTGGGCTATAACATTTGCATTTGGCTCACCAAATTTTAAATAGGTTTGGTCCCCCTTGAAAAAAAAGGGAAATGGGAAGAAGAGATTGTAGAATACCTCTCAGCCCAATTTGTGTCTGGTTGAAGGACTGATAACCTGAAAAGCAGAATATGGCATGATTATGCTTCTTCCTCTAATAAATGCAATGGCAATCCCTAAGCGCTCTCAAAGCACAAATAAGACACAAAGTGCTATATATTTATGTGTAGATAACATCATTAGTGTAATTGGTACCGTTATGTGGGATTTCCATGTTTAAAGAGACACTATAGGCACCCAAACAACTTTAGCTTAATTAAGCAGTTTGGGTGTATAGATCATGCATCTGAAATCTCACTGCTTAGTTCTCTGCTATTTAGGAGTTAAAGGAACACTATAGTCACCTAAATTACTTTAGCTAAATAAAGCAGTTTTACTATAGATCATTACCCTGCAATTTCACTGTCATTTAGGAGTTAAATCACTTTGTTTCTGTTTATGCAGCCCTAACCACACCTCCCCTGGCTATGATTGACAGAGCCTGCATGGAAAAAAAAACTGGTTTCACTTTCAAACAGATGTAATTTACCTTAAATAATTGTATCTCAATCTCTAAATTGAACTTTAATCACATACAGGAGGCTCTTGCAGGGTTTAGCAAGATATTAACATAGCAGGGGATAAGAAAATCTTAATTAAACAGAACTTGCAATAAAGAAAGCCTAAATAAGGCTCTCTTTACAGGAAGTGTTTATGGAAGGCTGTGCAAGTCACATGCAGGGAGGTGTGATTAGGTTTCATAAACAAAGGGATTTATCTCCTAAATGGCAGAGGATTGATCAGTGAGGCTGCAGGGGCATGTTCTATACACCAAAACTGCTTCATTAAGCTAAAGTTGTTCATGTGACTATAGTGTCCCTTTAAATCACTTTTGCTTATGTTTATGCAGCCACAGTCACACCTCACCTGGCTGTGACTGCCACAGTCTGCATGAAAAAAGTGGTTTCATTTTCAATCAGATGTTAGCTTACTTTAAAAGTTTTTATCTCCTGCTCTGTAAATTGAACTTTAATCACACAGAGGAGACTACTGTATGGTCTAGATGACTACTAATACATGAGATATGCAATACTAAATTAAACAGACTGTGCAATAAAGGAAGTTTAAGCATTAGATCTCTCTTTACGAGAAGTGTATAGGAAGGCTGTGTACGTCAAATGCAGGGAGGTTTGACTAGGGCTGCATAAACAAAGTGATTTATCTCATAAATGGCAGAGAATTGAGCAGTGAGACTGCAGGGGCAGAATCTATACTCTTATACTGCTTAATTAAACTGAAGTTGTTTTGGTGCCTATAATGTCCCTTTAAGGGTACCAAATTATGGATCAGTTTAGTAGATAGCTCCCTAATTTGGTATTCTTATGTAAAATTTAAAGGGACACGGTAGGCACCCAAACCACTTCAGCTTATTAAAGTGGTCTGGGTGCACTGTTCCATGTATCTTAACACTACAGTGGTAATTATTCCAGTTTCTGAGATTAACTCCACCTCTAGTGGCTGTCTACCAGAACACCACTAGAGGGCTTTCTGGTGTGAAACAGACCTTTGGTCCGGTATCTGATGCTCAACGTCCTCATGCTTTGAATGAGGACCTCATGCGTCCGATTTTTCCCCCTTTGGAAAGCATTGATTAATGCTTTTCTACGGGGAAATCCTAATGTGAGCGCAGGCATTGACAAGGCAGGGGAAGAGTGTGGGCGGAGCCTGACCCAGCACCAAGGGACATCTTCGCTGGATTCAGGTAGGTGACTGAAGGGGTTTTAACCCCATTCAGCCCTGCGGCGGGGTGTGGGAGGGGGGGCACTGTAGGAGACTATAGTGCCAAGAAAACAGCTTTGTTTTCCTAGCACTGTAGAATACCTTTAAGGATACCAAATTAAATAAAGGTACCAATTATTTAATTTATAAATAGGAACTAATAAATTAATTGTACATGGAAGAATTTTCAGTCGTCATTATTCCATTCTTTCAATGTGCCGTTCATATATTCGGAATTCAGACGAATGACTGAACGTGCCGATATTCTTCCTAATTGTGATTCTTCCAAAAACAAATCAATAAAGATTTAGATAGATGCATGAATGCATACATGCGAGATCAGCATGTATGTAAACATTGACCTTTAAATGGTGGGATTCCCACATCTAACTCTTTCTGTTTTGATTTCAGGTATCTCTTTAGTTGTAAGAGAAGGCCTCACTAATCCGTGGATCCCAGATAACTGGTCCTGGGGTGGAGTGGCTTCGGAGCACTGCCCTGTACTAGCCGAATTCTACATTGACAAAGACTGCAATAGGAAAGAGGTCAATCCCAAGGCCAATGGAGTCACAGTAGAAAGGAATGATGCAAATACAAAGCACGAAAGATGAAAACTCAAGGGATTTTTTCCCTTTTTTGACTGTGAATCCTGAACCCAAAACTTTACGCTTTGCATACTTTAAATACTAATTTTTTTGTTCAAAGTACCCTGCCACATCTCATGCTGTAAATGGATATTATATATAATGAAATGTGTTAGATCAGCCACTGTCTAACTTTCCATCTCACCTTTGTGTGGACTGTTGCGGACATGGACAATATATAAAACATTGATATAGAACATATATGAGAAAAGGAAAATACCGTACTTAAAAATTTCTGTGAAACCATTTTTTTTCCTTTTATTTTTAACTGATTCTTGTCAAGCAATGCAATAATCTAAGACTGTAAAAATGAGACCTTTAACACTGTCAGCAATTTTTTCTCAAATAAATTAATGAAATTACATGAAGATTGTGAAGAGTTTTTTTAGATGCTTTTTCGTCTGTGCAGTTGTCTGATACATTACTCCTTTTTGCACCATCCATTAACAAAATAATAGATACCTAGAGAATGAGAACTTCTCTGGCAAATGTATAAACTGTGCAAACAAATATACTCCCAGTGATGGAATAAATAGTAATACAGAATATTATGTTTTAGGAAAAAGTGAAATTCACTTAATACAGGGCGTGTCTGTAACTAGTGTGAGAGAGGCATTTGAGATGCTGCTCCTTTAAGAGAAAATGCTACCCCTCCCCCAGATTTGTGGGGGTTCCTACGCCCATGACTTCAACATCATTGTTTTTAGAATATTTGGTCACCAGTAGAGGCTTGTCTATAGGGGCACTTGAGGCAGTTTTTATGTTGGAAAAAAGTGTATTGGCAGTAGTTAAAAACCACTAAGATTTTTTTTTCCTGCAGGAGAGCATGGTAAACAAGAAAAATGTGTGTCTGTATTTTACTCAGGTCTTCCTGTTGTATGGGTATCTCTGTAGTTTACACAGCTCAGTGTATTGTATAGGTATATTTGTGTTGTGCCAACCTCTGTTTGTGGTATGGTTATCTCTGCATTGTACTCAACTCTGTGTATTTTATAGATATTAGTAGTAGTAGTAGTAGTAGTATTTATATAGCACCAGCTTATTCTGCAGTGCTTTACAACAATAGGGGAATTTACCAAATGAGACAATAACAACATTTACCAGGAACAATAGGTAGTTGAGGACGCTGCTCAGACGAGCTTACAGTCTAGAGGAGGTGGGTATAAAAACACAATAGGAAGGGTATTAATGGAGACAGCAAATAGACATGGTGGGAAAGTAGCAGAAATGGAGGTGAGAGTGGAGAGTGGCTCTTTATGAGAGAGCAAGAGGAAGGTTTCAGAGGTAGAAGTTACTCTGGGAGGCCATAAGCTTTCCTGAAAAGATGGGTTTTAAGGGACTTCTTAAATGATTGAAGACTAGGGGAGAGTCTGACAGGGGTAGGCAGGTTGTTCCAAAGGAAAGGAGCCGCCCGTGAGAAGTCTTGCGGGCGTGAATTTGCAGATATCTTAATGTTGTGCCCAGCTTCTCTTATTGTGTGAGCATCTTTGTGTTATGTCCAGCTCTCTGTATTATAGGAATATCTCTGTACTGTATAAGGAGGAGTAAAATTCTGGAAGAGTCTGGCACCCCACCATCTTAAAAATTCACCTGCCACCACTGGAGGACCCTATCCTGCTCCTTGTCAGAATAATTTTGTGAGCATACCGACACTCGTCCTCATTGCCTGCTTTATCTACAGTGATTTTGTGTATATTTATAATTGAGTCAAATTTTATTTGTCCTGTTAGGTTGTAGCAATAAATATAGGGAAATGTTTAAATAACCATTTATATTCCACTTAAAAACTTGAAAGTATTAGAACATAATGAGATCAAACTACTTTAAGAAGTCAGTTGCATAAAAGCAACTCAAGAATGGGGTATTGCATTGTGGGAAGAGCAAATGGTCATGTACAGGAGTCTGTTTAAAGGAGAGAGAACATACAATGGATGCATTTGGTATAAGTTGGATGGCCCAGTTCATATAGTTTATTCAGAAATGCTTTATTTGCATTATTGAATTGCAAAGCTTTATGCATGTTGTTATCAGTACAGTACGGCAGATAACATCTACTGCTATCAAGTGACATTTTATTCCAAAAACTAATGCTGAGAATTCAATTTATAAAATATAGAATAACACCCTTGTGAATACAGAATTGCACATCATACTTCACAGCTTGAAATTTCCATATGCATACACCTTTATATAATTGATGCTTCTGTTTTTCTATACATACCTAGTAACAGTAACAGAACAGAGCCATTTACTGCCTGTTCTCTGACAGTCAAAGCTAAATTACTGATAGATCATTCAGAAGCCTCGTGTTCTAACCGCCAATGTATACAAAATAACATTTCAAGGGGCATTAGATAAGCCCTAGAAACTCTGTTTGTGAAGGATTGTGAAGTAGAGATTACATGCCTTTTGAAATAATTTGAAAAATAACTTTATTCATATAACAGCAATTGTGTAAAATTGTGTACATCAGGGGAAGCAGGAAAGTAGGGAATGGCCTACCTTTTGTGTAGGAGACCTTCAACAAATGTTGAGCGGATGTTGATCTTCTCCCTGTCGCAAATGATGTTCCCAATTTTGCACTATTTATGATGGTAGTTTTAGAGTACTTTTTATATTTATTTACAGTATTTGTTAAACTATAAGACACACCAATATATTTGAACTAGAACTGGAAGAAAAAATTAAGCAACCAGTTTACCTCTCATTAGATCCCCCCTATAGTGTCTCTTACACCCACCTTGTGGCTCTTATTACCCCATTTTACTCATCCCACTTGTGTCTACTATTCCCCCCCTCCCCTTGTGTAACATGAACTCCCCCTCCTTCATTCATGGCTCTTACCTCCCTTCATTTATAGATCCTCTGCCATGGTTCGCAAGGTCAAACTACACAGAGTGAATGGGGGGAGAGGGGAGCTATATGCACCAACTCTAATGTATCTGTGTTGATTGCTTCCTAATGGCCCTTCCTGCAGATTTGTGAATACAATATAACAATATATATATAGTGGCAGTAGGAATAGTCATTTATTTAAAGGCAAACTCGATGTCTAAAATGCATATAATTAAATAAATTGTCTTAACGTACCTTTCATTAGCTGCAGAATGGACCTTTAATGAAGATCCACCCTCTTTTTTGCCCAGCACTTACTACTTTATTAATGCTGGACATTGTCCAATCAAATGCTTATCACACAGTATATCATCCAGTCGTCATATCATCCAGTTCATTAGCTTCTTATAGAGATGTGTGGTTTTGTTGAGATTTACTTATATAAAATATACTTTATCATTGTATTAAAGTTACATTTTTTATTTTTCATTTGTATATACCTTTATTAAAATGCTGATTTGAATTATAACGCTATTGTGGCCTAAAATATTTATCAGACTCGGCCAAGTCATTTGGGTCAATACTATTGATTGCATTTTGAATTTGGTTTCAGCCAATGGAAAGATAATGAACTACTAGGAATAATTGAGTGAGTCTGACTGCTTTAGCTATATATTGCATAGAACACTAAACATTACTGTGACACTACAATATTCAAATAATTATTTATATTGTTTTTTATTTTATATATATATATATATGATACATTTTTAAAAAGTAAGGTTTTACAGCATGAGTGTTTATTTAAAATCCTTCAGTTGATTTAATCATTTTTCTGTTTAACCATTTCTTATTACCAGTGAAGTCTATGCAATACCTCTGCGTTCTGTTTCCTGAGCTCACACTAGGCACTACAGCACTGCTACAGTATGACACCTAGTGTTGATATGTGGCACTGCCATGTGAAAGACTGTTGAGGTGGAAAATAAAGATTCTCTTTATATTTTTGACTACATCAGTTTATAATGTATATTATAATACCCCATGAGTCGGCAAGAGTAGAACATGTGTAAGACTTTTTATTGAAGGTATGTGGGGATATTTATGGGATAATAATAGTAACAGTGAGAATTGCCCACTAATTCAATTCTCAGATCCCAAATATCGTTATCGTGTTAAGTGAGAAGTATATCATATAAATAATATTCACAATTTTGTTACAAAAATAGATTTTATTTATAATAACAAGTTAATTAATAATAATAATATTATGCAACATGCATGACAATAATCAATGGATATCCAGTATAAAATGATATGCAATACAAAGGAATGGGTATTACGTTTCAATGGGTAAACAGCATTATCTGTCATGACGATTTATGAGGTATCTTTAACACAGAGAGAAAGCGAAACTTTTCACAGCAGCGAAGGGCCATAAAACCCTGGCTAACAGTTAGAATAACCCTTTCAATGCTGGCTAGATCTCCTAGGTAGTTAAGATCTATTCTTATGTAATTTTAAATAAAATAACATTTAAACCAGTTCATTAGTCATTTCCTGGAACCATCCAATAAGAGAATCTACCATATTATATAAGCAGATTTTGTTTTGTCTAAAAGATATCTTATCTTAATTTAGAGCAAATCAATACACCTGGATAAAAACAACGGTATGCTAACACGTGATAATATCACATCAATATATAATTATTCTTAATTCCACCTGCAGAATGGAATGTTTATAACTATATATTCTTTAGTTAACTAAGATTTCTTAATATGGAAATCTGACCGTGCTTTATCCAGTCATATATAATGCTATTAATACATTTTAATTAATTTAATTTAATTAAGTTAAACCAGTATAATTACCAGTTGAGTAGATATTTCATCCGATTGGTAGATAGTCTCAGGAACTTATTTGGATGTCTCTCTGCATGAGTTATGGTGAAAGGTGGTGTTGGTTAGAAAGTCAGTAAAATTCTAAGTGTTAGAGGTTTTAAGAGTAGAGTGTTAGTCTCAGATGTTGTCCTGAGTTTCTCTGCATGTCCGAGTTGGAGTCCCCAAACTTCCAATTCCTCTCTCCTCTTTTTCTTTCTCCTTTGCCTTTGCATCCTCTATCTTCCCTTT